CACTCAGGCGTGTCTGCACCCCGGCTCCTACCCTCTGTCCCGCTAGTCCCCGAGGCGGCTGCAGCGAGGGGCTGAGGAGAGCGTCCGGTGTTCCGCAGTAGGTACTGCCCTCCCCGCCCCCTCTGCGCCGGCCTGGAGCCGCCGACCTTCCTCAAGGTGCCCGCAGGCATCTCCCGGGCGATCTTGGTGCAGAGTGAAGGCGCGCGGGAGGCGCAGTCTGGCTGCAGCCCAGCCAGCCGACACTCGCAACGCCCTGACCTTGGGCAAGGCCAGGGCTCCCGGGGATCCGAGCAGAGAGTCTCGGGCCCAGGCCCTTCTGGTACAGATTCGGAGACACCGTGGCCCTGAGAGGCTGCTTGCACAGCCTCCAGACCTCAACCCAGGGCCTTTCACCACCCACCCCCTACCCAAAGAGCGGTCCACAGAGACCCAAGGGCAGAGACGGGGGAGAAAAAGCTACTAAACAAATATATGTAAGAAGCCAAGTCTCACTAATAATCAGAATCATGTAAATTCAAACAATGACTGCACCTTCCCCAACACAGGCAGGTTGGCAAAACTGTCAAAGATTGACACCATGGGGAGGGAGGGATGTACAGAGCCGCTGGCGTTCACACGCTGCCGAGCAACTGAATCGCTCCCTCGTTTATTGGAAAGTAATTTGGCAGTATCTATCGTACTCCCTGACCCAGCAATCCCACTTCTAGGAATCCAGCCTACAGAGAGGACAGTCTCGGTTCTCAGCAAACAGACCAGGGGATGGAGGCTGGAGGACCCAAATCTGGAAACAAACTGGAGCCCATCAGAGGGCTGGTGAGTGTGGAATAGCATGCCGCTATTTAAAAGGACTTGTTATTTGGAGCCTGGGTGAGAAATGTCCCTGACTAGTTACTAAGCAAATAAAGCAACAGCAGGGAACCCCTGTACACTTGGATGTTTGATCTAATCTGTGGGCACCTGCACAGGGAGCGCCTGCGCGGGTGATGGGGCGGGGCAGCAAGAGAACATGGCCCTGCTGGAAAATGGCCCCGAGCAGGTGACCAGGTGACCCAAGTGAACAGGTGACTCCAATGACATCAGGAAATAGGTGCCACTGAGGAGAGGACACGGAAGCAAAGCCCCAAAGGACGGCCCCTTGAGCAGAACTTGGAGGCAGCAGCGCCCATGCCAGGCTGTCCCTGGTGACGGCAGAGGAGACTCTGTCCCTTCCCTCCCTTATCTCTGGGTGCTGCGCCCTGCTCCAAGCCTTGTTTTTCCAGCAATAATTCAGTCTTAAACAGGCAAATGGTCCAGCCGGCCAGACAGCAGGTGTCCCTTAAGCTTGGAACTCCTGCACTCTGTGCCCACCCCCCCACAGCCCCTCTCCCAATGGTAAAGGAATATCTGCAGCTGCCCTCCCCCACCCCCCATGGGCTCAAGTTTCTGTTTCTAGAAATGGAGCTGCCACCCCTGGAGGCCCATGTGGCTTTTCAGACCGAAGGGGGTTGGGGGAGCGCTCAGACCTTCCTCTTTGTCCTCAGCCTCCTCTGCTTCTCTGACTGCAACCCTCCCTCACCCTGGGCAGCCGAGGGCCTGGGAGAAAGGACCTGCTCCCCATCTCCTTCCATGGGCAGGGCAGGACTCGCTGAGGGTCCGCACCGGGACACTCCTGACTGGGACCTCCAGCAATCCTCAGGCCCCTGTATTTTGTCCCTGTTTTGCAGATGAGCAAAGTGAGCTCAGAAGTTGGGTGACACAGGTGCCAGGTCAGAGGTCCCGCATCCCCCCAATGTCCTGGAGCGCCTAGCCCTGTGCTAAATGCCCCGGGGCAGACCTTGGAGCCCAGCCAAACCTGAGCTGGACACAGACAGGGAGCAAGGGAGGGGGGAGGGAGGCACCCAGCCCAAATGTCAGGGTGCCCCCCCACAAGGAGCAGGGGGGCATGGGCAGGGGCCTGTGGGAGGTCCCAGCCAGAAGAACACAGAGTCCAAGCAAAGCTCACTTTCATCTCTGGACCCCCCACTGCCCCCAGGGCCCACAGGAGCTGGCTTGGCGGCGTTCCGGAGCGAGAAGACCATGACATCACTGGGCCAGTTTGTGTTCCAGGTTCCTCAGAAATCACACCTGGTCACACATTAACCACCAGCCCTGGGGGATGGTGCTAGAGCCTCAAAGGATCTGTGCAGGCTTTCCTGCACAAAACACAGGCGGCTTCATGGGGCCGGTGCAGGCAGGGGCCAGAATGCGCAAGCCCAGAGGCATGAGGGGGCAGTGCAGGCTGGGCCTCAGGCAGGGAAACAGGGAGGTGCCCTTGGAGCTGGGCTGGGCCACCACCTCCTCCCACGCCGCAGTCCCTGGGCCCCTGGCATCCCAAAGGGGAAGTCAGTGGGGGTCAGGAGAGGACCAGGGGCCACCTTGGGGTCACAGAGTAGGGCCTGGCTCACCCAGCCCCGCCAGGCATGCAGGCAGAGCAGCATCCCCAGGGGGCACCCCTCCGCAGGGTGACCCTGACCCTCTTCTCCAGGCCTCCTTCTGCCTGTTCTCACCTTTCTTTAAGCCTGCTATTGGTTCTCTGAAGCCAGGTAGACTGACTTCCAATCCCATTCCCTATTTTGGCCACATTGGCTGTGTGGCCTTAGGCAAGTTCCTTAACCTCTCTGAGTCTCTGTCTCCTTTTCCCCATCTGTGAAGTGGTCCCTCCCTCACAGGATTGTGGGGAGAATTCAATGAAATGACACTTAGCTGGAAACATGATAGCACTAATTCTTGTGAGCAGAGCCCAAGAGACAAACCCTGCAGGGCTGCCCTGGGAATCAGCGGGGGCCTGGGGGAGCCAGTGTTGTTTGGGGATTCAGATGGAGTAGCTCTGGGGAGCCTGCCTAGAAGAGGAGCTGGCTAGCCAGCCATGGACGGCAAGGCGAGTGGGAAGTGAATCCACGGGAAACCACCACGATGTCACCGCATCCTAAATTAGCCTCTTAGCAGTGCCCAGCCTCCATTCCGCATGACTGCTGGGAAGCTGGGGAAGACGGACTCCCAGGAGAAGCGGAAAGTTGGGGCCCCCAGGGGAGCAATTAGGGGGTGATGCAGGCATCAAAGAGTGACTTAGCAGTCAGAACACAGGCTGGGAGGGGGGCCGTGGAGTGGGGCTGGTGTCTCAATGACCAAAAACAGGAGGCAGCGAGGCCGTGCAGTCTTCAGGCAGCTGGGGCCTGAGTGGTGACCCCATAGGGACATGAGCCACAACCAGGGGGAGGCCACTGAAGGCCCCTCACCATCTGACCCCGGGGCCCCCAGGCTCGGCCCAGCCAGGGCAGGGGCAGGGAGGGCCTCAGGTCAGGCAAGAGCCTGGCCCCACAGGCTGGCATCGCTCTCGGTGGGGGCTTGCCCCGAGGGGTCCAGCCACCTCATTTCACCAGGAGACAGGGCTAGGGGAGCTGGGGGCTGGGGAGTGCGGCCCCAGGTAGTTCTTGGGTCATTGCCGGCTGGGAAGACATCCTGGGTCCAGGCCCAAGCTAAGCTCCAGCAGCTAAGCTCCTGACCTGCTGGGTGTGTGTGTGGGGGGTCTCTCTCCCTCTCTGGTCCCTGAGACTAACAGGACGTGCCCTGGTCTCAGCGGCTAAGAGCAAGAGGAAGACTATGCACCCACCCCCCACCCCCAACACACACACACTCCCCTAGGACCCGGCTCAGAATCAGCAGGGCCTGAGACACGACCCCGCCCCACTTCCTTTTCTATCCCCAGCCCCCTGCGCAGGCTCCTCACCCTGTGCAGACCCCGAAGTGAGCCCCATTTATCAAGCGCTTGGCTGCCCTAGGCTTCGCCCGGGGCAGGGCCCCTTCCCCTCTTTGAAGCAGACGCGGCGGCTTGGTGGGGGTGAGCCCCTCCTGGGAGAGGTTAGGGGCCCAGGGCCATTCTGCTCCCCCCGGACCCTCGCCGGGCCTCGGGCGGACCGCAGCAGAGCTTCCTGGCCCGCCCTCTGACAGCGACCCCATTTCCTGAGTGTCCTGGGTGCTACAGAGCGGTTTGCAATGACATGTCCGCGCAGGGGACTGGGCAGCTCCCGCCGGGACGGCCTCGGGGCCCCAGAGCAGTCAGAATCCCCGGCACCATGGCAACGCCCAGGCATGCGCCTCGAGGGCGCAGATAACACCTAAAGGCCCGCAACGACGTTGGCCGGGACGTCCCCGCCCTGGAGGTGTGAGACTTTGTCCTCTGTCCTCTTTGGCCGCCAACACATACAATCGGAGGAATTCATATTAGGAAGTGAGTCGATCAGCAACTGTCCGAGAACGCGGGTGCACCGCCCCGCTGTCCCGGGAGCCCGCGCGCGGCGGGGCGGGGCCTGCGGGACGTCATCAGCGCGCCGTGCCGGAGCCGGAAGTGCGGACGTCGTCGCCGCGCGTCCCGGAGGCACGTGTGGAGCCTCCGGGAGCTGGAGTCGCTGAGCTCGGCTGGTGAGCCCCTGCGGGGAGCGGCGGGGAGCGACGGGAGCGCGCGTGGGTGGGCTCCCCGCGGGCCCTGCGCTGTCTCCCGCGCCCGGTCCCCAGCCTCTGCTTGTGAAGCCCTTACCCCTCCGAGTTCCCCCGCCTGTCCGCGAAAAGCCCGCCTTGAGGGAGACTTGGGGCCGTGGTTTCGTGTAGTCAACCCTCGCTTGGAAGTGACCACTGGCCACTTGCTGCTCCTTTGCTGGTGGGTACCCCCAAAGGCCACCCTCCCATTTCACACTCGGGAATTGGAGCCCGACTCCTGCAGGAGGGGTGAGGAGAGGTACCTTATTTTGTGGGAATCTTTGGGTCCCTCCTTAGGCATTGCCGGGCCTCAGTCTCTCCATCTGTGATTTGGGCTAATGGCCTCCGTCTCCTGTCCCAGACTACGGAGAGCTTCACCTGTCAGGCTAGGGTGCCGCCCTGGTGACTCGAGGTGGCTGCGTGTCTGGCAGTGCCAGGGACTGAGCCACCCCGCCCCAGTGCTCAGGGTCTGGGCTTCACACCCTGCCTCCCAGCCCCCTCACCTGCTCATGCCCACACGCGCCCCTCCCCAGGCCCTGGCACCATGAGCTTCGTGGAGTACGAGGAGCTGATCAAGGAGGGCGACACGGCCATCCTTTCTCTGGGCCATGGAGCCATGGTGGCCGTGCGTGTGCAGCGAGGGGCGCAGACGCAGACCCGGCACGGCGTCCTGCGGCACTCGGCCGACCTCATCGGCCGCCCCTTCGGCTCCAAAGTGACCTGCGGCCGAGGCGGCTGGGTGTATGTGCTGCACCCCACGCCGGAGCTCTGGACGCTGAACCTGCCGCACCGCACACAGATCCTCTACTCCACCGACATCGCACTTCTCACCATGATGCTGGAGCTGCGGCCCGGCTCCGTGGTCTGTGAGTCCGGTGAGTTCTCGCTGCCTCTGTGTAACCCTGAGAAGTGGACACGGTGGTGGTCAGAGCCGACGTCCATTCTGCCTTCCAGCAACCAGGCTGGCTGCTGGGTCCTGACCTCCACTCTTGCCCTTTGTCACTGCCCTCCGGTGGCCCAGGATGGGGGTTCTGTCCTGCAGGAGGCAGGGACCTCTCTGAGCTGCCGGGCCAAGCCCACCTGCTTCCAGACCCATGCACTCTGGCTACAGCAGCGACCAGAGCTGGCCAGATCCCCCTCTCCGGCCCACAGACTAGTTGGGGGAGACAGAAAGCTTGAAAGGAAAACACATGGTGTGTCCAGAGATTGAGGGTCTGTGGAGAAGAACGAGGCAGGGTAAGGTGGGCAAGGAGTGGGGTTTTAATAGGGCGACCTGGGCTGGCCCCATAGAGAAGGCTTGATTAAAGACAGAGAGGGGTGAGGGAGCCAGGCCTGCAGGTACCTGGGATGCGGGTTCCAGCGGAGGTGAAGGCTGGTGCCCAGGCCCTGGGGTGGGAGTGGTCTCGGTGCAGGTAAGAGCCGGAAGGAGGCCAGCATGATCCCCTCTGCTTGAGCAGGACCTTTTTGGGGACATGACGGCAGGGAAGCCCATTAGAGGCCAGGGCTGACACCCAAGTGAGAGTTGACTGAGGGACAGGGCCTGGTAGCCCTGAGGAGGGGCCTGCTTGGGGGCGGGGCCAGGCTGCTGCTGGTGCTGACCAAGGTGCTGACCTCCAGGTCCTGGTCCCTCTGCTCAGGGAGGCGGAGGGCATCCGGTCCAGGGGTCCCTGGCGGCAATGAATGGGGGGGGGCGCACTGTAGGCGGGGGCCTGCCTGTGCCAACCATGGTGGGGTCCTCACCTGCTGTCAACATGAGCATCATTGCTGTTGACCCAGGGCTGGGGTGCCAGTGGAAGTGCCACCCCGACCCTCCCTCTGCCCCCACTCACACAGACAGAGGTGGGGGGACTGCCTAGGGTGGAGACTGGGCCACAGGTGTGGCTAGATCCCCCGCATGCCCTCATGGGCCGAGCAGCCAGAGGACAGGGCCACGCCAGGTTCCCTGCGTGCTGCTGCCGACTTCCTGAGGGTTCAGCCATCCGTCCCTCTCTGGGCCTCAGTTTCTCCATGTGGATGGCAGGCTGAGTCCGGTGGCCCAGCCGAGCACTTTGAGATGGTCGGTCAGATGCGGGACACAGGCCGTGGGCAGAGGGCAGTGGGGGGTGTGTGGTGCATGGAGAGCAGGATGAGGAGCATCACTGCCTCTCCCCGAGCTGCCTGTAGCGGTGGGCTGGGAGTGGGAGACAGCCGAGAACAAGGCCAACCAGGCTCCCGCCAGGAAGCCCCCGGAGGCCCGGCGCCATGGTGTGGGTGCAGCTGATGCTGTGAGGCGTGTAAGATGGGGCCGTGCGTGTGTGAGGATGGCTCAGAGGAGACCCTCCAGTGAGACGGTTAGGGAAGACCTCTGAGGCTGGAGTGTGCCCGTGGAGTCGGGTCAGCGAGGAGGCCGGTGGCGGGAGCAGAGTGGGGTGGCTGCGGCCTGTGGCCACCTGACGCCCGCCGTCCCTCAGGCACCGGCAGTGGCTCCGTGTCCCACGCCATCATCCGCACCATCGCGCCCACGGGCCACCTGCACACGGTGGAGTTCCACCGGCAGCGGGCGGAGAAGGCGCAGGAGGAGTTCCGAGCGCACGGCGTCGACCGCTGGGTGACTGTGTGCCACCAGGACGTGTGCCGCAGCGGCTTTGGCGTGAGGTACGCAGCCGATGCCGTCTTCCTGGATATCCCGTCGCCCTGGGAGGCCGTGGGTCATGCCTGGGACGCCCTCAAGGTCGAAGGTGCGTTGGGGCCGGGTTCGGGGGTGGCCCGAGTGGGGTGGGTCGGCCTGGCTGGGACTCCGGGATATCACCTGGTGGGGGTAGGTGAGGAATCAGAGTTGGGGTAAAGGGCCCCCACCCCAGGGTGGGCAATGTTGGGCCCCTGGGAAACATGGCAGCTGAGTGAGAGGCGAGATGGCGTCACAGGGTGGGCAGAGGTCATGGGCTAGCCCCCAGTCCCCGCTGTTTCCAGCACTGGGTCTGGCAGAGTCTTCCCTCCCCCCAGCCGCAGGGCCGAGTCTGGCGCCTTTTAGGGAAAGGATGCTGTGTGGGGGTGGAGGCGGCCGTCAGGCAGGTGGCCCTGAGCCAGGCAGGCAGCAGCGAGGCCAGGGTTTTTCCCTTTTCTGGAGAAGAAGCTGGCTCGGCCGCCCAGGTGCCCCCCTTCCCCTCCCAGCCCAGGGTGCCGTGAGAGTGGGGCAGCTGGACAAGGCCAGACCTGCTCGGGGGTAAGTCAGTGTCCAGTGGTCCCCTGCGCACTACCTCAGCCCGGACCCTGGACTGGTGTCCCTAGTCTCTGCCAAGGTGGCCTGGGTGCTGGTGGGGGTGAGAGGAACTCGAGACCTCTGACCCCTCATCATCACCTTCCTGACCTCTGTCCCCCTGACCTCTGCTCCCTCAGCTTTGCCCATGGGCCCCCATGGTGTGTCTCTGCTCCATGACACCAATGGAGCTGCCCCATCCCAGGGAGGCAGGCCCGCTGCCCAGCGTGGCCGAGCCCAGCCGAGTGCCTCTCTGTCCTGTCTGTTGCCCCTGTACTCTCTCAGCCCCCTCCTCTGGGCTTTTCCCTGGCCAGCAGGGGTGTGTGCATTGGGCCTCAGTTTCCCCAGCAGTGCACACGGGGTTTGGGTACTCCTCCTCTAGGCCCCCTCCCCTCCCGGGGGCCCTCCTGGGGGGCCGGGTTCCCAGGGCAGAGCTGAGGGCACTGACTGTGCATCCTTGTGCGTCTCTCCCTGCCAGGACCGCCCCTGGGAGGCCACTGGGGCCAGGCTGAGTGACAGCAGGGGTTTGGGGGGGGGCGCTAGGGGCGGGGCGAGAAGGGGCTGTTGGCGCCGCCCCTGCTGTGTTACCCTTCGAGGCCCATCCAAGTGGGTGCCAGCTTATCTCCAGGAGCGAGCAACAACCTCTAATTTTCTGTGACAGCCCCCGCAGTCCTGTGACTGTTACTGTATTTTTGAGCTGCTCCTCGAGGGCTCTGCCCCGTCCCGTGCCCCCACCCCTGCCCCGCAGCGTGTCTGGCGCCTGGCCCTTGTGGGGTGGCAGTGCCCAATGAGTGGCCCAGCTGGGCAGTGACTGGTGGCTCCTCCCGGGTGGCTCACAGGGACGGGTCCTTCAGGCTTGTGGGGGGCACCTGGGCTGCGAGTAGCGGGAGTTGGAGGGGCGGGGTTTCTTCATCCTCTGACCCTGCCCCACCCACAGGTGGGCGCTTCTGCTCCTTCTCGCCGTGCATCGAGCAGGTGCAGCGCACGTGCCAGGCGCTGGCAGCGCGTGGCTTCACGGAGCTCAGCACCGTGGAGGTGCTGCCACAGGTGTACAATGTGCGCACCGTCAGCCTGCCCCCACCCGACCTGGGCGCCGGCCCTGCCGAGGCCAGCCCCTTCCGCAGCGGCACCCCCATGAAGGAGGCCGTGGGCCACACCGGCTACCTGACATTCGCCACCAAGACCCCGGGCTAGCGGGCGGCCTGCAGGGACACCAGTGCCAGGAGCAAATGGAGCTGGGGGACGCCAGGGACGCCATGGAAGCGGGGGTACTGGGAACCAGAAGCACATGGAACCTGGGGACGCCGGGGACACTTGGGAACTGGGGGTGCTGGGAGCCAGGAGCACATGGAGCCGGGGTGCACCACGGAACTGGGGGTACTGGGAACCAGGAGCTCATGGAGCCAGGGGGCACTGTAGAAGTGGGGGTACTGGGAACCAGGAGCTCATGGAGCCAGGGGGTACTGTAGAACTGGGGGCACTGAGAACCAAGAGCTCATGGAGCTGGGGGGCACTGTAGAAGTGGGGGTACTGGGAACCAGGAGCTCATGGAGCCGGGGGGTACTGTAGAACTGGGGGTACTGAGAAGCAGGAGCTCATGGAGCTGGGGGGCACCATGGAACTGGGGGTACTGGGAGCCAGCAGCACGCGGAGCTGGGAGGACCATGAGCCGAGGCTGGGGCAGTGCCGCTCCACCAGAGATGCCTTATATGGTAATGGACGCCGGCCTGGCCTGTGTTTAGAAAAGCTGCGCGGGGCTGGGGCCTCCTGGGTGGCGGAAGCAGAGGAGCAGCTTCGAGGGACCCGGCCCCAGCCTGCTCGGGCTGCGGGGGGCAGGGGGACCCTGACCAGGGGCGGAGCCCTGGGCTGGGTGGGCGGAGCCCGGCCTCTAGGAGCGGGGACCCCGGGCCTGGGGGTGGAGCCCGGCCTCTGGGGGCGGGGCCTAGTCGGCAGTACCGCGTGCTCATTCCTGCTCAGCATCCACGTTCTTCTGGCTGCCTTGCTGCCAACCTTCTCCACTGCCACAGGCTTCTGGCATGGGGGCACCCAGGGTCTGGCCCCCTTTCCCAGGTGGCCCCAGCAGCTGAGGGGGTGGGGGCCTCCTGCCGAGTCCCCCACTGTGTGGGACCAGCTCCGCCCACTCTGCCTCTATTCACCCGCCACAGCAGGCATCTGCTGGGACCTTGACGGTGTGAGTGGGTGCGCACAAATGGGGGGGGGGGGGCCCATGTGGAGGAGCACTTTGGGGTCCCCTTTGAGATCCTGTCAGAGTCAGGGTGTGCACCCCAGCCTGTTGGATCCCAGCGCTACTAGGACTGCTGTGACCCTCACAGGGGCCTGGGGTCACCGCCCTCCCGTGGGGACAGTCATGTGAGGGGGAGGGGCAGGCCTTTGCCAGGTGGGCGAGGACTTGGTGGTGGGACACCAGGGTGGGGGGAGGGGAGGCCGAGCCTCAGTCCCGCGTGTGGACTGCCTCTCCTGCCTGATGAGCAATAAACGCTGGTCCTCCTGCTTCTCTGCACGCCTGGCCCTGCTCTGCCTCCTGGGCCCTGGACAAAGGCTGGGATGCGGTGGACAAAGGGGCGAGTGTGTGGCCACCCCCCACCCGGCCACAGAAAGGCCTTTGTCCTGGGGGAGGGGCGTGTGGTCCGTGTCCTTGAGATCCCTGGGCCATCCATCCACTGCCCAGTAGGGAAACGAGTGTCTGTGTGTCTGTCCCTGAGATCCCTGGACCATCCATCCGCTGTCCAGTAGGGGAGTGTGTCTGTCTGTCCCTGAGATCCCTGGGTCCTCTGTCCACTGCCCAGTCGGGGAGTGCATCTGTCTGTCTGTCACTGAGATCTCTGGGCCCTCCATCCACTGCCCAGTAGGGGAGTCTGGCTGGCTGGCTGGCTGTTCCTGAGATTCCTGGGCCCTCCACCCACTGCCCAGCAGCCCCACTTGTCGTTCACAGTGTGGGTGCCTCGGCTGGGGGGCAGGCTGCCGTGCCCCATGCGCGTGCAGAACATGGGTAGGGATGGGGTGGCCCCTGGGAGAGCATGGCCAGGACTGCTGTTGAGGGACGTTGAGCAGGGCAGCATGGTGGGGGGGCGTCTTCCTGGGGCGCCCTGGTCCCCGTGTCAAAGGCTGCAGCACACAGGGTCCCCTTTCGCCCTCTGCTCCACCTTGGGCTGGAGCTGGCAAGGCCTGTGGCAGGTGTTCCTCAGTGTCCCTGGACCCTCTGCCCCTGGCTCCAGGGGACTGTTCCCCTTTTGCAGGCTGTCCTGACCTCAGACCCCATGCTGAGGGCAGAGGAGAGACCCAGGTCTCACCCAGTGACCAAGTCACGTTCAGCATGAAAGCAGGTGGCCCCAAAGCCAGATGTGCCAGGAAGTGTGGGGTTGCCAGGGAAGGCCCCTGGCGGGACACCCCCCCTTCCAGGAATGACCTTTGTGAATACTGGCCCGCCCTACAGGGGTGAGGACCGGAGGTGCCAGGGATGCCCAGCCTGTGCCCATTTCCAGGTAGGGCTGGGACTCCATGCAGGCTGCACTTGGTCCAGAGCCCAAGGTCATGGCAGCACGGGCACCGTGGGGTGGGGGTGGTAAGGCCCAGCCCACAAGGCCGAGGACTGGGTGGGGCCAGCGCTCTGTGGTGTCCCTGTGAGTTGGGGTGTGTGCTGCCAGGCCCGGTGCAGCCTTGGCCTGGAGGCCCCACCTGGCTCTGAGGCAGCGCAAATTCCTGCTTATCCTCCACGGCCCCACTCAAATGTCCCTTTCTCAGCACCATGCTCCCAGATCCTCCAGCACCCACCCCAGGCGGGAGCACCCAGCACAGCCACCCCCTGCCCCAGGCTCCAGTAGGATTGCGGCTAGCACCCCCGTTGGTAGGGTGGGAGCCAGATGTTGCCCCAGTTCTGCAGATGGGGAGGCTGACGCCTAGGTGGCAAGTGAGTGACCCGTCAGCAGGCCAGTGACAGTCACCTCGAGTCAGCAGCATGGGGCTTGTCACAGGACAAGAATTCACCCGGAAACTCCCTGCCGAGCCCTCAGTTTTTCCTTGGAAATTCCCCTGCTGCAGCCCACCCAGGCCGTCCTGCTGCCCTGCCCTGCCCTGGCCCGGTCCTGGGGAGCTGACCCACACACCCAGCCGCTGCCCCATTCCCAGGCTCAGACCTGGCTTCCCTGCTCCGAGGACCCCACATCAACCCGACCCTGGGCTAGGATGAGAGCCCCAGCCACCCATGTCTTGCCCGCCACCCTCCCTCCCACCTCAGCCAGGCTGGGGTGGCCCAGGGAAGCTTCTGCATGGGTGGTGGGTAGTGTAAGGGAGGCCAGGCTGTGGAGGCACACCCTGCTAGCAGTGTGACAAGAGGTTGTATGTCCCACAAGGCCAGGGCAGAGGATGGTTTCACTGGCGCCGGGGACCCTCAGCTGGGCCCGCGGTGTCCCCTGCCCCCAGGGCTCCTACGCTTGTTTCTCACCTCCGTCCCATCTCGTCTCCCAGGGCACACTGGCCCCTCTCTGTCCTGCTTGCCCCCTCGAGCGTGTGTGCTGGGGGGCAGGACAGCCTGCACGGGATCCCAGCCCAGCACAGGTGGGGAAACTGAGGCCCAGGGGAGACAGGGCTTTGCTGGGATCAGTGCCTCTGACTGGCCCCCTCAGTCCCCACTCCACGTGGTCCCCCAGGGTGTGATCACAGCAGCCAGAGGGGAGAGGTTTCAGGGCCGTCATGGAAGGCTCCTCAGAAGAAGGGGTGCTGTGCAGGGTCCACAGGGCCAGTGAGCAGAGGCCTTCCCAGGGGGGCGTACCAGGCCCTCCCAAAGGGCCAGTGAGCAGAGGCCTTCCCAGGTGGGCGTGCCAGGCCCTCCCCTAGGCCTTGTGAGGGTGAGATAGGGAGGTCTGGGACAGTCACCCTGACCCTGATGGGACAGACCCAGAGAGTGGACACCCGCTCCCTGGCTGCTGAGTGCCCAGTTGGCAGGGCTGCCCCGAGCGCAGGGGCAAATTCTGGAGGGCTCGCATGCCAGCCTCGGGGTCCCAGTTCTCAGGGCCTGCCCTCCGCCAGCCTCAGGGTCGCAGTGCAGAGCTGGGGTACGGGGGCTTCAACCCAGCAAATGTGGACCGAGCACCTCCTGTGTGCTGGAGCATCCTGGATGCTGGGACCCCTGCAACACAGACTGTGGTGGGAGCAGAGCGGGGACCCCGGCACAGACGGTGTAGGGGAGCAGAGAGGGCGGGCTGACTGCGGGCTCGGGACAGTTGGGAAGGCTCCCCCAGGTTGGCCCTGTGGTCCCGGGCTTATCCTGCCAGTGAGGCTTGTGTGAGCACTCCCGCCATCAGCAGGGAGGGCTGGCCTCTGTCCTAGGGGTCACGTCCCGGCTCCCAGCCTCACTCCCCGCTCCAGTTGTTATGTGCTGTCGAGTTGGCTGTGACTCAGGGCGACCCCGCGTAGAAGAGAACGGAACACTGCCCGGTCCTGCACGTCTTCAGCCATTGGTGCGTTCGAGTGCATGTTTGCAGCTGCTGTGTGATCTGAGCGCCTTCCAACCTAGATGGCTCATTTTCCAGCACTGTACTGGATGATGTTCTGTTGTGACCCATAGGGTTTTCACTGGCTAATTTTCAGAAGTAGATTGCCAGGCCTTTCTTCTTAGTCTGTCTTAGTCTGGAAGCTCTGCTGAAACCCGTTCACCGTGGGTGACCCTGCTGGTATTTGAAATACTGGTGGCAGAGCTCCCAGCATCACAGCAACACAGAAGCTACCACAGTACAACACGCTGACAGACGGGTGGGGGTTTCTTATGCAGAAGTGGGGGTGAACACGGTGCCTGCCTCTTGGGGCTGCCACGAAGTTAGATACGGTGTGAACTTTTAGAACAGCAAGAGCTCAGGAAATACTGCCGTGACTGCCATCACTGACGAGAGCTGCCGCTGCCTCCAGGAAGCCCTCCCTTCTCTTTCAGATTCCAAGGCCAGAATTTTGAGGCTATTTCTGGGTCCATCTGAGAAATGTCCTGAGTATTTCATAGCTGATGGGGATAATGGGAGAGATTTGGAATCGAGACTTTTTGGAAAACCCTGGTTCTCGGTCCCTGTGCTTCACTGTGCAGTTAAACAAAACTGCCCTGTCTGGGCAGGCACCCCTCCTTGGGCCTCCACAGCTTCTGCGGTGGGCGTGTTGCTTCTCTGTCGCCAGACCTACTGTGTGGCGAATAGCACCCGCACTCCAGGGCT